AGTGTGCCTATCTAGCAAGGTTTTTGGTGTGGTTATGTTAGTTGATGGTAGAAACCGACTTAGTCATGATGGGTTTTGAGGTTTGTTGATAGATTGGTTGAATAGGATGTTTAAATAATGCATAAATGGGTTGAGTGAATAAACTCCTACAAGAAGGGTAGAAGTGTAATTTACCATGGTTTAGAATCACCTTGTGTGATGTATGTGAAAGCTTAGTGATGACCTACTCTGACCTTAGAATTGATATGAGTGTTGCTTAAAAGAGTTTGTATAGGCTTGCTCCCAAGGGGGAGATAATGTGCTTAGATAGCAAAGTCGTTGAGTGTACTTGATGTTTATGAGTTAGGTTTACTTGAAATTTCCACCTTGAGTGGTGTTAGTGAGGTTGTTTGTGAGTTAGTTTATTAACGAGAACCTCTTTAAATTAGAAGTACCGGTAGAAGTCTTAGACCAACAAGTTAAGAAATAGAAGAACAAGAAAGTTGTTCCATGAAGTGTAGGAGTGATCTTTTAAGGGTTTAGTTGGGGATGCTACTTGGGAGGCTTAGGGCCAATGAGAAGTCCCAATATCCTCATCTTTCTTTCTTGTGTTCCTTCTTTAGCATTTAAGAGCTTGAGGCTTTAAGTTTCTATTGGTTTGCTTTTATATATGAAGCCATGTGTGATTTGTGTGTTACCATGACTTCTTAATATGCATGTTCATGAAAATGCCTAGGTCTTGTTAGAAATGACTTATATGCATTGTATTCCTCACGTTGTAGTGCATTGAGTAGATTTGCATATAGACTTCATGAGTTGATTATGAGCATGCCCTAGTTTTGGAGTTGAAAGATTCCTCCTTGAAAAAAAAATGCTTTTTGAGAGTAAATTGCATTTAGCCTCCATGAGTGTGTGTTGAGCATAATTTAGTTAGGAGATGTTAGTTCCTCCTTGAAAATGAGTGAAATATAGAATTTCATGCATTTTCGGTTGGTAGAAGTAGTTCCTACTCCCTTGTGTTGCATTTAATGAGTTTAGTTTTGAATTGAAGTTTTCTTGCTTGGTTGTGTGCATTTAGATGTAGTGCATGCATGATGGGCTATTAGTTTAGAGTTGTGACTTTAAGAAGTGATTGGAATCGTCATTCGAGGATGAATGATCCAAAGGGGGAGATAATGCAACACCCCGAAAATTAGTAAGTCGAACTAGTGAGTTCTAGAGCCTTTCGTAAGAGTTTTGGAGTGTTATATGAGGGTTAAAACTCATAAAAGCGACTCCCATACTTAGAATGGAGGTTTAGGGGTTAGGGCGTCAAGGTACGACCCCCCATGGACCACCCAAGGGGTCCTTGAGGAGGACCTCAAAACAGCCCAAAAAGCTATCCAAAAAAGTGTCACCTACGTTTGGCCACCTACTGGCCGTAGGTGGACCCACACCCCCTAGGTAGGGGGCATGGGTCAAGGCCTGCAGTGGCCTGCACTTTTTCAGTTGCAGACCTCACCTACGGAGTTGAGTGACGTCCAGTAGATCCACCTACCATCCATAGGTGGAGGGTCGTAGGTCATGAGCAGATTTCAACTTTTAGTTTTAAGTCAAGTGTTTAAGGGTTAAGTTAGTAATTAGTTATGGCTTAGGGAGGTCGGTTAATTAGCTAAATAACCACCTATAAATACATAATAAGACCCTAAACTAAGTCATTAGCTCATTCATCTAAAAACGCCCAAAATACTCTTCAAAAATCCTCTCTCTAGAAGTGAAGAAGAAGAAAAAGAAGAGAAGGGAAGAGGGCAGCAACTAGGGTCGAAATGCACCATTGATTCAAGCTTTGCTTAGGGCTTTGAAAAGAGGTATGTTTAGCTTATTCATCTATGGGTTCTTCCCCCATAGAACCCCCTTAATTTCCCCTCAATTGTGAAGTCAAAAACCTAACTCTAGCTAGGGTTGATCTTTGTGGGTAGGGCTTAGGTATGATTCCAATCTAGTGGATAATACCTAATTATGATTGTATTGACATTGAATTGTGATATTATGATGAATTCATGTGATATCTATGGTAAACCCTAGTCTATATGATGAATGTGATATTTTGTGGGTTTATGCCATTAGAGGTGAAATTAAAGGTTCATGAGTGATCTTCCTAAATCAATTTCATGTGTAGTAATTGTTCAAAGTTAGGAACATATAATCATGAATTGAACTAGACTCTATTATATATGATGAATCTTGACATGTAAAGTTAGAATTGAACCTTTATGATCAATTATGACTAGAATCACCTAGTAATGATGAATATGATTAGAATACCTTGAAATCTAGGTATGAATGAATGTTGCAAGAAGTAAAGCTTGAATGTAAGGCTTGTAATAATGAATGTTGATCACTAGGGTTTGAAGGTAAATCCAATATGATGCAACTATGAATGGTAAGGCTTTGAGAGTAAAGTCTATATGTGAGATTAGAAGATTAAAGTATAGAATTGTGGTAGAAGGCCTATACCTACCTAATCTACATTATGAATGCTTAAGTGCACAAAGTGATAGATTCACTTGAGTTATGGCAGTATCCATGTCTAATGTAGAATTCTAGACATGACATTATGCATGAACATGATATGACATGAAAGGTGCTCTCACATAGAATGATTTTAGGTTGAAAGATTTTCTCACCTAAAATGAATCCAAGTCCTTGGACTCTAAGATGTGATGAGGCTTGTGGTGATTCCCCTAAATGACCTTTGCATGATAGGAATGTGGGGTGAGTTCCCTTATTCCTTATTAGTTAGTTATGGGGAGTGTGAGGTGATTACCCTTCATATATGTGTTATTCCCAAGGCAAGAGGTTATTACCCATTAGCCTTTATGTTGGTCATGGAGGCGATTACCTATGATCCTTATGTGGTGATGTGGAGGCGAGCACCTACATTACACATTAAAATGGATATGGAGGCGAATACCTATATTACCTTAAAATGAATATGTAGGCAAATACCTATATTCCTCTAACAATGAACATGGAGGTGAATACCTATGATTCATTGATATGTATGACTAGAGGTGAGTACTCTTGTCTTTATGATTCCATGATATGTGTGGCTTGAGGTGACTTTCCTTGTACTTCATGACGAACTAAACATTTATGCCTTGAGGTGACACCCCTTTGCATTTTTGAACATGAGCATAACTAGCTTGGATAGTAGGTCTAGATACCTCTCCACTTCATGCATGACTAAGAGGTGATTACCCTTGTCTTTATGATGTTAAGAGATGATGAACATGAATGATGAACCTAAGTGTCTAGCTTAACATGGGTAGGATTATGAGGTCTTGTTCATGCATGGCACAAGCTTGCCTTAAGGTGACTCATGAGATGCTTTCTTTTATATGATGTATGCTTAGATATGATTTTGCTATAGTTGCCTTCCTTGATGTGATATGATTGACTAAGGTGATAGTTCCCTTGTTTTTATGAAGTAAGTTAATAGTGAGACCAAAGTAGGGTAAATATGACTATGATGACTTCAAGGTTATGCTTAGTGTGAAGGGTAGTATGGGATGCCTTTCATACATTGCACAAGTGTGCTCTGAGGTTACTTAGGAGTATGGTTCCCTTATGTTAAAGAAGCTTAAGAGTTGACCATACATATAGACTATGATTAAGATTAACCAAAAATGATACTTGGCTTGGGTGGTATTATGATATGTTATTCATGCTTTGCACTTGTATGCTTTTAAGGTTACTTGAGAATGGTTCTATTATGGTAGAGATGACTAAGAGTCAATTATGCTTACATGATGTTCATGTTGAAGACTTGGATTATTATGATTATGACTTATCTCCTATGCTCATTAACTATGTCTTATGTTGACTTATGATTATATGATGCCTATGTTGGAGATTATGCTATGACTATGATGATTATGTTATGACTATGATGATTATGCTATGACTATGTTATTATCTCTTATGCTTATGTCTTATGTTGACTAACCATTTTGAGATGCTCTTATGGTGTTGTGCAAGCTAGCATACTTGCTACATTTTGTACTAATGCATATTGCTTACATTCTAATCAAATGTAGGGTTTCGGAGATTGAGTTGCTTGAAGGCTAGGTTTCCAAGGATCAAGAAGAGTTGAAGAATTGGTGAGTCCTCATAGCTTCGAGGACAAACCCTTATTTCCTTTATGTCATTCTTTATGTTTTATAGTATTGTATGGGATGTGTCCCAAGAGTTCAATCTAAAGTGTATTAGATGGTTTGAGACAAAGTATAGAAGACTTCGCTTGATTTTTATGAAAAATGACTTCGATTGTAAAAGTTATAAATTTTCCTGTGTTTTAATTTTATTACCTATGTTATGATGCTAAGGGCTTGTATGAGACCCCTTCGGGGTCATGTCGCCATGTTACGTCTAGGGAGTACCCCTGGGTCGTCACATGCATAAAGGCACAACAAAGACAATATTAAACTTGCACAAAAGCACAACAAAGACACCATATATAACATTCAAACATTGGTCATATATAAGCAAAACGTCAGCTAGTTTTAGCTGATACACTCAGCCTATACAAATAGTAGAAGCAAAACAGACTACCAAACAAGTTTAACCTTAAAGGCATCAGCTATACAGAATAGTACTACCAAAACATCACAAAAGCATCATTTAAGGCATCAACCTATACAAAACATAGCAAAAAACAAGTTTAGCCTTAACATCATTAAAGGCACCAACATATACAAAATAGTAGTACCAACACAATATCATTATCCGCTTCTTGGCCTCAACTTTTGTAGCTGGTTTGTAGTAATTGCATCCTTTCAATTCCAAGTTAAGACAATTGGTGCTATGTGAAGATTTGTAGGTTCACTAACACCATATTTGTCAACTCTGAAGCCTATTACTCTACTTCCAATTGGTTCTTGTGAGTTCTGTCTCTTTCTCAAGCTTGTTAGAAAAGCTTCTTCTGAGATTGTTCTTGGCCTTAGCCTAGGGTCTTCATCATCATCCTCAGCTACTGGAAATTAGCTGCTAGAAACAACATATTCAGATTGACTCTCTTGTGTTGGTTGTGGGGATGTGCAGTTTATGTCTTCCTCAGAAACTTCATCTTTATCAATTAAACCTCTCCTAGGCTGCCTTTTTTTTTCCCTACTAGTTTCTTTTCCTTGCTTAGCAGGTTGCTTCCCCTGCTTTTTAGCAGGTTGCTTCCCCTGCTTTTCCTTATTGATCATAATAGAAGATAGAGAATTAATTAGTAAAATGGAATAATTATTTGATGTAGTTAAAGATTTAATGAAAATTACCTTTTTACATCCTCTTGCATTATGATTTTGTTCTCCACAATTACTACATGTCATCACTTTTCCTTTTCTTGTTTGCTTCCATACTCCTTGCCTCTTAACTGCTTCATTCTTTTCTCTTTCCCTCATAAGCTTAGGTCTGCCAACAAGCTTGACCAATTCTGGTGGTTCAATGGCATGCAAAGGATCACATTTCCAGAATGGTTCTCCCCTAACAGGTTGTAACTTGTGTTTGTAAACTGCCAAGGCTGCCTCCTTACTATAATACCAATCATTTTCATTCTTTGGTATCATTTTCTTGTGCTCCATGTCCTTAATTGCATGTGGACATGGAATTCCAGTCAGATCCCATGTTCTGCATGTGCATTTTTTCTCTCTTAAGTTGACAATGTGTCTATCTGCACCTTCAGTGACCTCATAGCCATTATCCCCATTGTCACTCACCTTACAAACCTTGGAAATCTTCAAATACTCAATAAACAACAACTCACTTTTGAGACTAAACCCATCATTTTTCCACTTCCTCACATCAACCTCTTTTGCTGCCAACCTTTCCATTATTTTGACCTTGATGTCTTCTAACATTCCAATAATTGGCTTGTACCTTGCTTCAAGTATCCAAGCATTGAATGATTCAGTAAAGCTATTGTCCATAGGCTGATTTTTGCACACTGAATCTAAATAGGCTCTGCACCATGATTTGGGAGGATACTTGTCTATTAAATCTTGTCCAACCTCTTCATCAACTTCCTTGATCTCTTGAAGTTGGTCCTCAAACTCCTCTGTAAATGATGACCATGCAGCCACCATAACAACTTTTTCAGCTCACCTTTACCCCCATCTTTTGCATCAATTTGCCTCAATATGCCTTGCACAATATCTTTGATGAGCTTCAGATAAGACTGTCCTTACTGCTTCAAGCAGCGCCTAAGTATCAAATTAAAACAACTAAAATTAATAAAAGAAATAGTACTAAGCAAAGGTAAATAAAGTGAAAATTAGTAGTATAATATTACCTTCTGCATATCTAATATGAATGTCAGTCCTTCACCATTCTGAAGTTCAAGTGAATGTTGCAAATGTGGCATGAACCATGTCCAAGTCCTCTTAGTCTCTTTATCTACCACAGCCCAAGCTAGAGGGTAGAAAGAGTTATTACTGTCTTGATCAACAACACACAATACCTGGCCCTTAGCTTTTCCTTTAAGGAATGTACCATCTAACCCAATAAGTGGTCTTAACCCAGACTTAAAACCCAACTTCATTGCCTTGAAGCATATATACATCCTAAGAAATTTTCTCTTACCATTAGATAGTGCCTCTTTAGACAAATCTATCACAATGTCAGACCCTGAATTACAACTTCTCAATTCAATAGCATAACCCTCTAATTTATTGTAAGAGTCTACAAAGCTACCATCTAGACTCTCTAATATCTCCTTTTTGGCTCGCTTGCACCTTGCCTCACTTACATTTAGCTCAAACACTATATGTAAGTCGGCCTTCATTTATTTGACCTTGTACTTAGGGTCACTTTGTAATTTGTCCTTAAAATACAAAGCTATTGTTGAGTAATCCACTAAAGAGTTGTCATATGTTGTTCCACACTCTATATGATCTACTAGTGTTTTGACACTAACACCAAGAGTGGTCAGATCCCCAGAAATAAGAAGTAAAAATGGACAACCTTCAACAACACATGTATACCTAAATCTTTTTTTATCATTCTTCACCACAACTAGTTCTACCTTCTTAGCTAGAGCATAAAGTTTACAAAACTATTTTGCTTCAGCTATGTCCTTGAAGGCCATACCCTTAACAATCTCCTTATAATCTTGCAAACTATCAGTTATATTCTTTTTTTTTAGTAACAAAATTTTCTAATTCATCTGTATCATAATCTGAACAACTAAACACCATTCCATCATTACTGTCACTTTCACTTTCACTACAATCTGTGCCTTCATTAACAATTGGCGAAAGTAAAAATGATCCATCATGCATGACAATATCAGGTACATCAACAGATAATTCACAGTCCTCAGTAACAAACAAATGAATAGATTTATAATAAGTAGAGATTAAAGATGTTAAGGTCCTAACTCATTCATCACCTACTATTTCAAAATATTTCCCAACTGGAGAAAGTACAATAATTCTTGCACACCAACAAACCCTAACTTATCGTGTACTCATTCACTAAGTCGATAAAAGATATAAGATCAGGATCATACCCTCTCCAATAATGAACCATCATTTGTCATAATGTGGTTCTGGACTGGTTAGCCACTCACCACCATGATGAAAGTATATGGTAACTTCAACCATGTTAATGACCTACAAAGAGTTAGTAAATAATATAAGTAACAATAGGAAATAAGCAAGTTACAATAGGAAAAAAGTAAGTATTAGGTCATATTAGTAAACATAAGACATTGACATAGTTAGTAGTCACATTAGGATTAAAGTAAGTTAGTTAGTTACTAAGTCACAGTTAGTAAGTCATATAAGTAAGCCACATTAGTAAGCATAAGGCATTCACATTGTTAGTAAATAACACAAGTAAGTTACATTAGAAAGTTATTAAGTTATATAAGTCAAACTTAGAGAATTTAACAAGTCATAGTTAGTAAGTCATATAAGTAAGGCACGTTAGTTAGTTATTACGTTACACTACTAAAAAAATAGTGGATACCGACCTAAAAATTTCCGACCTCAAATGGAGGTCGGTAATATTCGACCTCCGGAGGTCGGTATTTACAAGTAGTCGGTTTTTATGCAAAATAAAGCGGGAAAACCAAATTCCGACCTCTGGAGGCCGGAATTTTTCCAAGAAAAAATGAATTACAATAAAAACCGACCTCTTAATGTCGGTATTAAACAAATAAATCTAAATTAAATATAAAAAACAAATAATACCGACTTCCGTATGTCGGTAAAATTAAATAGTATGTAAAAAATAAATTAATATAAAATACCGACCTCATGAGGTCGGTATTTTTTATAGTTAATTGAGAAAATAATACCGATATCAAGAGGTCGGTTTTTATTTTAGGGAAAAATTCCAACCTCCTGAGGTCGGAATTTGGTTATTTTGCATAAAAACCTACTTCTTGATGTTGATTATAATACCGACTTCTGAATGTCGGTAAAATTAAATAGTATGTAATTAAAATACCGACCTCATGAGGTCGGGTATTTTTTTCTAATTACTATTAATTAAAGTAATATCCGGAGGTCGGTATTTTTATTTCATCTATGACTTTTAAAAGCGACATCCGGAGGTCGGTATTTTTATTTCATCTATTACTTTTAAAACCAAATTCCGACCTCCGGAGGTCGGAATTTCTCCCAGAAAATGAATTACAATAAAAATCGACCTCTTGATGTCGGTATTATTTTCTCAATTAAATATAAAAAACAAAATTGAGAAATATTTTGATTTAATTTTATTTAAATCGTCTTCCGGAGGACGATTTTGTGTAACATAAAAAACAAAAAAATTATAATACCGACTTCCGGAAGTCGGTAAAATTAAATAGTATGCAATAAATTAATATTTTTAATTAACTTTAAATAAATCGTCTTCCGAATGACGGTTTTATACACGTTAAAAAATAATTTAATATAAAATACCGACCTCCCGATGTCAATATTATTTAATTAACATGATTACTTTTTAATGTGATACCGACCTCATGACGTCGATATTAATCTAATTACTTTTAATAAAAGTGACATCCGGAGGTCGGTTTGTTTAAAATATTCCTATTAATAATCATAATTTTGCTATTGTGCATAATACTAAAATTTTATTTTACACCTACAATTAATTGTTCAAAAAGTGTAACAATTTTGTATACTTTTATAAATAAAAAGTTAGAATTCGTGGAATAAATAAAAAAAATATCTATAATCCATATTTAGAGTATGAAACTACGTTGATTTGAATTAGGAGATAATTATACTTATATTTCTAGAGTAATGTACAAATTCTATCAGTCTGTCGTCTAATCATGAACTTAATATCTGATGTCATGATGTAGAGGTGAAGAGCTAACATATATTCCATTCGAGTATGAAATGCGCGTGAGATAGTATTATTATATACGTTCGATCTAATTGAATGGATGTTAAGTGTAGTGATCACCTTCTAATTATGATGACATGTAAACGATACTTTATTGGAGTATGAAATATGTTGATTAATTATATACTCCTCGAGTAGTTTAACAAATCAAGTCTTATATACTAGTGGTTTAGATATGAAATACATTATCAATTAAAGAAACACCGATGATAAATTCAAGGAGATTTATATAATTAAATTTGATATTGATAAACTTTTGTTGATCAATAAAATTAAATTTATTAAATTAAACTTCTGTTGATGTGTAGTTAAATTTTATATATATATATATATATATATATATAATTATATACTCCTCGAGTAGTTTAACAAATCAAGTCTTATATACTAGTGGTTTAGATATGAAATACATTATCAATTAAAGAAACACCGATGATAAATTCAAGGAGATTTATATAATTAAATTTGATATTGATAAACTTTTGTTGATCAATAAAATTAAATTTATTAAATTAAACTTCTGTTGATGTGTAGTTAAATTTATTATATATATATATATATATATATATATATATATATAATTATATACTCCTCGAGTAGTTTAACAAATTAAGTCTTATATACTAGTGGTTTAGATATGAAATACATTATCAATTAAAGAAATACCGATGATCAATTCAAGGAGATTTATATATTAAATTTGATATTGATAAACTTTTGTTGATCAATAAAATTAAATTTATATAATTAGTTAAATTTATAAAATTAACTTGATCGATAAATTAAATTTATTAAATTAAACTTCTGTTGATGTGTAGTTAAATTATATATATATATATATATATATATATATATATGATATTGATAAACTTTGGTTGATCAATAAAATTAAATTTGTATAATTAGGAGTTATATAATTTAAATTTATAAAATTAACTTGATCGATAAATTAAATTTATATATATCTGTATGTATGTATGTTTAATTAATAAATCAACCTCAAGAGCTGAGTTTATATTAAAATAAATTATAAATACCGACCTATTTTAGGTCGGTATATTTAAATTATTATTTTATTTAAATAATATCAACTTCACGATGTCTGTATTTATTAAATATTTTTAAATATAGATAATTATTTTTAAAAATACCGACATCCCGTGGTCGGTAAATTAAACAATTCTCTTAAAAAAAGAGTGATAATATAAGTCTCACTCCTAAATGAAGTCTCAAAACCTAAGTGAAGTCTCACTCCCTACCCCTGACCCACCCCATCGGCGACCATCTCCGCCCATCCCCGACCATCCCCGATGGGCGCCACCATCACAGCAACAGAGGAAGGTCGCGCAGCTGCAGAGGACAGTTGCGCAGCAGCAGAGGACGGTCGCGCAGTTGCAGAGGAAGGTCGCGCCGCCTCCATCCCGACCGGCGCCGCCTCCATATTAGCTTTCTCAGTTCGCGCCACCATCCCCGACCTTCTTACTCAAGGTGAATTTTTAGAACCTCTATAAAAGATTACTTTTGTTTCTATTTAGTTGAAGTATCTCAAAATTAGAGTACTAATATACTTAGTTTTATTGATCGTTAGTTTGATTGATTGTTAGTTAGTAAGTGAATGATTTAGGGTTTTTGATTGTTAGTTTGAATTAGAGATTATTTGATTGTTAGTTTGTGTTTGTTGATTGTGAATTGAAAATTTTAATGTTAGGGTTAGTTTGAA